CCCCTTGGAGACCCCCTGTCACGTCGTTATTTTAATGATTAAGATTTAGGTGAAGATGCGACTGTTTAAGTATTGACAAATGCCACAATGATAATGACGGCAAATGACAAGATGAAGTAAATAAGAAAATGAAACTTGAATGAGAATTCACTAATCCATTTAATAGATTAGAATTAATCAATGAAACAGTAGATACAACAAGGATAAGTTGTTCGATTTGACAAGACTTCCAGAAGAAGAAGTTTTAGAGTCATGTAGAAGAAAAAAAAGAAAAAGGAGTTGATTATAATAGAAACAACTAACAGAGAAGAAAAGTAACAAGCTAATGAAAAAGAAAGATACAGTAAAAGTAAAAACGCGGGTAGTAGCTAGACAATAAGAATCAAGAAGATTATATTGAGAAAATATATGCACAAGCATAATTAGTATCAGCACATAATATAGGTGACGTTATGCCGTCACACCCCTTTAGAGACCCCCGCCTTACATTACAGATATTAGCAAGAATGCAAAAATTAAATAAGACATTTTTTTCCTACCGATCGATTTTCTTGCAGTAAATTAGGCGAAAAATCATATGTGAGTTCCACATTTTAGCCCCAAAGGGGCTGCGCTAACAAGCTTTCTTAAATTCTGAAAATGATATAGCTGTCTTTGGAATAGTTTCTTATTGAATGCGTTTGGTGTATGAAACGTTAATCTGTGGGCTATCAATTTTGAGCTAAAATAGAGCACATATATTGAATGAGATGTCAAGGCCCACTTTCAGTATATATAGAGTTAAAACCAGGTCTAAAATGTGTTTGTGGATAAAAAATAAAGAAAGAGTCTACGCCATTTTATTTCCTATTATGTATGTTTGCTTTCCCGTTGCTTAAGCAGAAGCTTGAAGCAATGAAAAGCAAAACAAAACTGTTCGAAAACTGGCCTAACCTGTAGATCAATACTTTTTTTAAAATACCAATTCAAGAAGATGAGATCGTATCCTACGTACAATTGGTCATGATTACTTTTTATCAATCGATTGGTGAACTCATGTGCGAAGCATATCGCAAAAACTAACCGTCCTATGACCATGACCCATACAGAAAATAATGATCTTTAGAGTAGAATATGGTACATTAGCGTAGACTAGGCTCGAATGCTTCTATTCAACATAGCATTGTCACGATATCATGCTAGAGTTCTAAAAATTTTAATATAATACCACAGAAATCTCGGAATCTTCTTCATCAGCGATTCTTTTAAGATTGAGATAAAAATTAAGTTTTGTTGTGTCAATTCGGTTTAAGTCATGCATCACTTACATGTCTATGTTTTTGATGAATTTCATTTCAGATAATCGAATCGCTCATCTTGATAATACACAGGATTACGATCAAGCATCGTCTTCTTGGGATTGGTTTCTTGAAACCAAATGGGAGTACAATTCAATTTCAAATAAGGAATTATTTATTATTTGCAATTTAAAAACTGGCTCCGATGATGAAGTGTTCTCAGAAAAACTATCTATTCTATTGGATCACTCACGTGGGCGCATAAAGAAAGGTGAAATAACTCATTTATCTGGTGACACCCATGATGATAAAACTCTAACTGATCAACAACGTGAACGTTTGAAAGAACTTGCTTCAAAACTTCCACCGCCCAAGCAAACAGGTCCGCATATTGCTCTGAACGAGATGTTGAATCTGAAATTGACCAGACACGAATGTGAAGGCGAATCATCAATACGCATGACATATGGAAATACAAATACTGTCACTACGTATCAAGACACAGCGAGAGGGCAAGATAATGCTTTTCGTCAAAATTTTGTCATCACGCATATTATATTTTCAAAGAAACCAACTATTCTACCAGAAATCTTACAACAAAAACGTTCAACACAAATTGAAAAACCTGTATCAGTTGCTGGTTTAACTGTTTTCTATCAAGTTCACGATGGATCATGGCGTGAATGTCAAGAAATTGCTATTGCATCAATAACAATGCGCAATGAAGAACCTAAATGGCTAACAGATTCTGTTATTAATATTGAACCCGATAAATTATTTTCATTTGCGATCAGAGGAAGTGTTAGTATTCGAGGTGAAGTAGGCAGAGATAATCAAACACGCCAACGAACACATAAAAGTTTACCACAACCATTTAAACTTAAAATAATTATCACTGATAGTATTGGCAAACAATGTTCATTGGTTGTTGAACACTTGAATAAACCACTTGATCTAATCACTCGTGAATCATTTCTAAACAGTTATCAATCGTCAATCAGTGAATTAGTTGGATTTACATATGCTGATGATTGTGAAACTGATGAAAGAGTATATATGGCGATATATGTAAATACAGAAAATCAAATTGTTGTTAAAAATGGTGGTTCATATGCTTATACGTTTACAAGACAAATGATACGTACAATGGAGTTTACTGCCAAACAAAATCAAACGCCTGAAGTTGATTTGGATTATATTCATCAGAGCAATGCGAGACACAGTAGTAGAGCATTTGCCTTATTTGATCCAGAAACTTATATGCTCTATGCTATTCGATTGGAATTGTCGACAATGACATCGAAAACCGAAGAAACAATACTGATTCCAATAGAAAAAATTGATTGATCAATGAAAATGTTTGTTTTTAATAATAAAAGCAAACACTTGAAGTTTTACTTTTCTACGCTGATGCGACTTTGTGCATGATTGCATATATTGTGTGAACCATTGATCCTGTAGATATATGCATCACTTTTCGGCAGACATTCGATGTGCACTATAGCCTTAACAGAAGGGTTTTCAGGACAATCCATGAAATATTTGCTAATTATTCGGTTGGTAGAATACTCGATGAAACGGAAACTTTGAAAGCAAGCCCATCACAGTTGCCATGCGTTCAATCTTCGATAGGTTGCATCAGTCGGGCTCGACTACAATGAGTTTCTATGATGCATCTATTCAAAAATATCTATAAGAATTGTTAGTAGAGCGCTTTTGATTCATCATTGCGAATTGATATACTTGTAACCAATGACCGACCTTTTTTAAGTACGTAATAAAATTGCAAACGACAATCTAGCTTTTTCAAAAGTCAAATAAAATAATTTCTATTAGTGATGTCACTCAACGCGCGTACATTAGAAAAGGGGTTCTTACCGGCATAAAGCACATGTGTCAGCACGTAAAATGCAATCATCAAATCTATGTAGCTTTTTCTATAAAGAAAAATTGAAGCAATTTTTTTGACTTTTCAAATTATTTCCTTCTCTCCCGTTAGATTTAATTCTCACTAAACAATAATCATAAGCTACAAAAAAAATATATAAATCGAATAAATCGAAAAGTCATATTGATTGTCTTTCGTAGTGATTGATCTAGTTTTTATGTAATAATTAATTCATTTTTTAGAGCTTTCAACTCAATTCCACGAGTCATTTTCAACATATTCAATTAGATCAACTCAACAACCTAAATATCTCTTTATATTGAAAATGACTCCTGGAATTGAGTCGAAAGTTCTAGAAAATGAATTAATTATTACATAAAAACTAGATCAATCACTACGAAAGACAATCCCCTAATCCACTCTCCACCGACGACTCTCCGGCGAATCCCCGCAAAAGAACGAAATCCCTAGGGACTCCCTGTCGTGAGTCCCCGGAGGTTCGTCAGGGGACTCCTTGGGGATTCTTATAGGGAGAGTTGACTAGGGGTCAATATGAATTTTCGATTTATATATTTTTATTTGAAACAGAAATCCCGTGATTAGAAAATCTTAAAATAATCATACAGATGAATCTGAAGTCTTTAACGCAAAAATCCAGCGTGCTTTGCAATGAGTTTCAAGGACGATTTTTTCCAATTGTTATTAGTCGCCATGCTAATGAAATTAGAGGGTGTTCCTTGTGACAACATGTAAATATTCTTTGCAAAGTCGAGTCAGTTGATAATCGATAATTATACTTAATCAGTGAGTGAACATTTTTCATTTACGTTTCGCCGAAAACTATTATTTGAAACAATTTTTGTTAAAGCACATTCTGAAAAAGCTGTTTCTAGAACTTCCTTGTTGTCAAATGAAAGATGCTCGGACAAGTAACTATAGATTGGTCTCGCTGCCTGCTTTAGTGATGGGTAGGATCTGGTGAAAAACATAGGCGATAAGTGTAAACCTCTTTTTTCGTCATAGCGATCTCACTGTCAGATAAACTGATTCTATGATAACTTTTGCTCTACTCGTCATAATCTACACATTCTCAAAATACTAGTGTTTATTCAAGAAAATTTTCTGCAGCAATCTTAGAAACTCGAAGGTATTTCAAAAAGCATTTGCGTTGTAAATTGCTCAGTACTTTTCAAATTGTGTAACCTCTGAAATTCCTAAAAACTGTTAGTTTGTACTTAGGTATAATTATCGGATTGAAGAAATTAATATTTTGGTCATTACTGGAGCATAACAGAAACTTTGTAAATTTTCCTTTCTATCCATTTGTATTGGTTACGCAAAAAAAATGTAGACAGATAAAGTATCATGCTCTGAAAAAGAATCAGAATTTTCAGCACTATCTAACGAGTCCGATGATACTCAGCAGTGACGGTTTATAATTGGTGTTTCGTGATTTGAATATTTAAAAAAGAACAGCGGAAAGGAGACGTCAAAATCAATGAAGAATTTCATTGGAAATCAATAATAGTAAAATATTGTTATTGGAATAAGATAAAACCAATCTACTTTCTGAGTGTAAAAAACAATTTTTTGTTCTTCGGAACTGCAGTAAAAATATTTGCTTATTTAAATTGAACTTCTTTCTGTCGAATGAAAGTATTTTTTGTTCGTTCTTTTCTTTTCTTTTAACTTCGTTTATTTGTTTTTGTCGTTCGTCGTGTCTTTTTTGTAGGTGACAAAGCAGAAAAAGAAAATTTGCCATGAAAAATACGATTCTTGTTGTGTTCTGTAATGTTGCCCCGCTACTTTAATTCGATCAAAACAGAAATATAAAGAAAAAATCGTGAATAAAATTATTCGAAATCAATTTTTATTTTCTACATAAAATAATGAATGAATTAAGTAATGACGATAAATTATATAAATTAATTTGTCAACGCAATAATGCCAATGAACTTGATTCATACCTCAAGACTCTATCGAATGTTGATGAAGTTTTGTTATTTCTACATCGACCTGGTGATCAATATTTAACTTTATTAATGCTAGCTGCTGTACATGGAAAAGATGAAATGGTGCGCATTATGCTTGCACATTCTACAGATGTACAGAAACTAGTCGACACTCCTGGATGTGTATATCGTAATGATGGCATGCTTGTTAGACATGCCACAGCATTGTGGTGCGCATGTGACCGAGGCCATTATACAGTGGCACGCACACTTATTGAAATAGGAAATGCTGATATTGATCGTGGTCCAAGACACACTTTATTGGTCGATGCTATTATCGCTGAACGTCTTGATACTATTCGTTTTTTAATCGAAAATGGCTATGCTGATATAAATAGCGCACGACATAATGAGAATTATAGATCTAATAGTTTGATTATTGCAGTGACCTATGGTCATACACATATTGTTGCTTATCTTCTTGAAAAAGGTGCAAAATGTGATATCATGACTCTACCATCGAATAATACGCCGTTGAGTTATGCAGCGATAAAAGGCCATCTCGATATAGTACGCTTATTATGTTTGGCAGGTGCTAGTACTTCGTTAAAGAATAGAAGTGGTCAAACGCCATTAATGTTAGCCGTAAAGCACGAACGAATTGATATTGTTGAATATCTTCTAGATCAGGGTGATATCGAAACAGGCATTAAGCAACTTGAATTAGCTGCTTGTGCATTTATAGTACCATCACATAAGAGTCATACAATTCAGCAACCACAGTTTCAAAAAATGATGAGCTTAATGAATAAAATTTTCGAAATACGACGGATAAAAAAATTGCCAAAAACAGTTGCACGGCCGATAGCTGCTTATGGTTTTCATCAAGAATGTCAAACGATGGAAGAATTACGTCTAATTGAGCATGATCACGAACGTTTATATTTTGAAGCATTAATGATTCGAGAACGTATTTTAGTACCGGAGAAAAACGAAACATTATTCAAAGCTTTGCTTGTTATCGGCGATAGACTTGTTGAAAGACGTCAATATGAATTGTGTCTAGATTTATGGGAACATACATTTTATTTATATCAATCTATGGATCTTGAAACTGGTCTTCATCGTTTTGTTTGGTTATTTTGTAAAATGACGTCGGCTAATGTTGATATTCCTGTGAAACGATTCATACAAATATGTCGTCTGACATTTGAACCATCACAACAAAAACCAAAAGATGATTATATTAAAAATGCATTATGTTTTCTAGTGCTAGCAGTAAAAATACTTGAACGATCAACATTAACTAAAGACGAACGTCAATTAATTTATCAATGGACAAATGATCTTTGTCTTCGTAAGCAAACCACATCTCAAGGACAAACTTTATTGCATTTATGTGTCGACGAGCAAACGTATTGTGATATTAATTATCGGCCCGATGATATTAAGCCGATACTTATGTAAGTTATTTTTCCTTAGAATAATGACAAATACATATACACATATCTATTAGATTTCCGAACTTAGCTATTGCTCAATATCTTATCACTCGTTATAGTCAATCGATTGATATAAATGCACTAGAACTAACTTACGGAAATACTGCGCTACATGTCAGTAGTCAAAATTCTACAATAGACACATTAGCAGTCGTTCAATTGCTGATTAATTCTGGTGCTCATATTGATTGTATGAATGTAGATAATCAAACTCCGTTTGATGTTGCTCAAGCCGATTCAATACGAAAATTACTAAAAGCAAAACAATCACCATCTCGACTTAAATGCCTTTGCGCACGCCTTATTCTTTTTAAACAACTACCATATGAATTAATATGGCCGAAAGAAACAGACCTGAATAGTTTCTTATTTTTACATGGTGGTGCAACTAGACTTAGTGAAATTAGAATGATATTATGAATATAATTATTTTCTATTGTAGTTCATAATCAATAAAAGTATACAGCACGTTTGTGATCCAATATCCTGTTAGAATGAATAGCGATCTACTTTATAAATAATGTGGGTCTTACTGTACATACGAAGTTCACTCTTAAAATTATACCCTTTGACACAATCAAGAGCAGAATAATAATGCGCGCATAAATTCAGTTAAATTATCCTATGTTCAATTCTCAACATATATATTTAAAAAATCTGTACTCTTCTGTCACAAATAAAGTACCTATCTAAGAGTATGAAAGAAGTCAGATACAAGAGCATACTCTATTCTTGAATCTTAACAAGTAATGTGCACTTTTTTACGAAAATAAATCGAGCAGCATATTATTTAATAGGACTGAAAAAAAAGCTTTTTTTCTGCTGTAGTAATTACAAATATATCACGCTTAAATTCGATTGTATGTCTGAAATTATAAATCAGGAAGGAACTTTGCCAAATCGATTTTTCTTCTCGAGTCTGTAACAATAAGAAATGCCAAAAGTACTTGGGGCAAACTGAGAATCAGCTAATCTCAAAGTTGAACTCAAGCTCAGTATTTGTAAACTATTCATTAAGTTGTGATCATGTCAGACATTTAACCAACAATCAATTTAATCGATAGTTTCGAGTATCTCTGATTATTATTCAATCAATCAATCAAAAAAAAGATCAAATTTAAGACTAAATCATTTTGAAAAATAATTGTCTGACGTCTTTCCAAGACTACTAAAAACTCATATTAAAAAACCGAAAAAAGACATGTAACCATCATTTTTCTACATTCATTGTTAGACTGCTTTATATATCAATTAGAGTATTTAATGATGTACATAATTTGAATTCCAAAAAAAATGGTTTCGTTTTTTATATCGTTGAAATCAAAAACAAAAAGAATGAATGACGTCAATATTCATACACACAAACGATACAATTTAATCTTCAAGTAGCCATTTATCACGATGTTTTCTTTTAATTGCAGCTCGGCGTGCTTTTATAGCATCAAGTTCTTTTTTAGTTAATTTGACTTTTTTCTTTTGATTTGCATTCGTTCGATTTAATTCTTCATTCCAAGCATTATAGTCAAAGTAATGATATAATTGGCGAAGATCACGTGCATCTTGTCCAACAAGTCTTTTTCCCGTATTCATTGTACTTGGAATAACAGGAGGAACTATATAGGGTTGATAGCGAAGATCTGTTTGTACATTTGTATATGCCATTGATAAAGCATAATCATCAGTCGAATACTGTTGTTGTTGTGCTACATTTGAAGATGATTTAGACTCAGGTAGTGGTGGTTCAACACAACCTTCGGGTGTTTCCCATACCTGAAAACAAAATAAAAAGCTCAACGATGAAAAAATGATGCAATGAAATTCCTTACCGATTCATTTCCATCTGACCAATAATAACGTTTGTAGTTCTCATCCCAATACGGTTGCCATCTGGTAGATGGGACACTAATAGCACTGGCGGTAGTTGGAGTTTCTTCAGTTATATCTGCCATTCAACTGTACAATCTATAACTCTGAAGAAAAATTTCAATCAATCAATAACACAAAACAATCGCATCAACCAATGAGCATCGTCATCGGGCCTCTACATTCTATTGTCGCTAACTGCAATGGATGTCGATATCAACGATTGACTCCGAAATTCAACGAATCAATGAAGTGAATTGAACGAAAAATTTCATTTCATAAAATGAACGGTCTCGTAGCATTAATAACCGGTGGTGCATCTGGTCTTGGTTTAGCTTGTATTAATCGTTTTTTAAAACAAGGCATAAGTCATGTACATTTTTGTGATCTACCAACATCAAAAGGCGAAGAAATTGTTAAAACAATGGATTCATCGTTAGTTACATATTATCCTGTTGATGTTACACATGATAATGAAGTTGAAGATATGTTTAAAAAAATTCAAGAAAAAAATTCAAAACTCAATTGTCTTGTACAATGTGCTGGAATTGGTGTTGCATTTCGATGTTATAATATAAATGTATATCATTTTCTTTATTATTGAACCTGATTTCTTAAAGAAATATTTTTTTTCTGCTCTTATTAGAAGCGAAGTATGCATTCCATGGAAGAATTTAATCGAGTAATGAACGTCAATGTTTTTGGAACATTTAATGTTCTACGACGAGCATGTCATATTATGGCTGATAATCAACCAGATACAAATGGGCAACGTGGAGTCATTATTAATACATCAAGTATCGCTGCATATGAAGGACAAATAGGTTTATTTTTATTAAATTATCTATGAGCAGTAATTTATTCTAAGTTGTTTCTATATTTAGGTCAAGTTGCTTATTCAGCTGCTAGCGGCGCTTTAGAAAGTATGACACTGCCATTAGCACGCGATCTTAGTAGTGTTGGTATTCGCGTATGTACGATTCTGCCGGGTGTATTTGATCATACGAAAATGGTAGAACCATTATCTGAAAAAGGAAAACAATTACTAGCTTCAATGATAACATTTCCACCTAAACTTGGTTTGCCAGATGATTTTGCTCGATTAGCACAACATATTATTGAGAATAATTATTTGAACGGTGAAAGTATTCGTTTAGATGGTGCTATTCGTATGCCACCTTAGTATTTTTGTTTTGTTTTGTTTTTGTGTTCTTATAACTCTTTAGAACAAGTTAATATGTTTCGTTTGTTTTTCTAGATTATTCATGTCAGATATCATTAAATTTAAATTAACAAACGGAGATGTTTTTGGTATATATCGTCAAACATTAGAAAGATATCCGAATAGTTTCTTAGCCAAGTTAATTGCCAATGAAATTAATTCATCATTTCATTCACGTGATGCTGATAATGCCTTTATGATTGACGAAGATCCAATGATTTTTTCTGCAATTCTTACATTTTACCGTTGTGGAATATTAACAATTGTGCATGATGATCTTCGTCAAGCAATTATTGATAAATATATGCTACCGCAGATTTATTCTGCATCATCACCAGCAAAAAGCCTATCATGCAACGATGAACCTAAATATGTGCATATTAGTTTTGAACATGCTTCATCGACATCAGCACAAACAAAACCTCATCCATCACACATTCCAGCTCTTCTTGGATGTCCATTTACGCTGACGCATACGAATTCTTACCGTTCGAGAGATCCAATTGAAATTGCAAATTATTTAACATGTAATGGATATTCTATGGAACAAATGGATGTGAATACAAGAGCAATCTTAATGAAACGAATAAATTAAAAATCTTAATTTTTGTATGAAATTATTCTTTTAAATATACAGTATAAACATTTTCTCGCGTTATTATTTTTCATGTGATGGTTAGAAGAAATTATTCATTGCTATTTTCTTTCCGTAGAACTTTTATCAAATGTTAAGTTTCTTAGAAAATCAGAACGATTTTAAGGAATTTATAATAGTTTAAAATTAAGCATCGTTATTCTTTTTTTTAGCTTAATACGAGAAGATTTCTGAATAGAAGTATGAACAGCTGGATGAATGTTGGCAACACTAAACCAACAAGGAATGTCATTATCTGGCTGTTCGATTTTAAATTAAGACTATTGTGATCTTGTCAGAGTCAGTAAATTATGATTAAGACGTGTCATCATACGAAATTAACTGATTTGTACTTTCGACTTATTGCTCTTTATTCAGCTATGGAAATCAACCTTGAGTTACAAAAAAGATACCAGTGTACTTATTTTGTTGGCTCTGCTAACATGTTTGAAGACGCCAAAAATATACGAGTATTATTAGGGTCACTCAATCTCATGAACCATCGTAGAGGCTTTTCTAGTTCAGAATAAAGATCACTCCGATTCTTTTCGTTTATGGAATAACCAGAAGTTTTGAAATATCGAATAAACAAAGGATTACAATATTTCAAGTTTATTGTATAGGAACTCTGAACTTTGTATTCCATATCGGAATTCATAAGATTATAGTCAAAGGATTTTATTCGGAATATAATAGTCATATGCATAGGTGTGAGGATTATTTCTTTATTTATAATGGCTAATTTGCGTTAAAGTATTAGTCCTCTCTTTATTCGAATGGGAAACATCACGAAAAAGTGTCTATCATCTATCAGAGAAATTTAATTCTATCGAACGTATTGAATCATGAAATAAATAGAATGAATTTCATCCGCCACATTTCTAATATGTTGTACAAAGAAACGTAGGAAGATTTACAATCTATGACAACTTCTATTCTACTCACTGAAATTAATCTATTCCGATGAATTATTTTACAAATACTTGAAAACAACGAATTCAATTAACTAAGCCAAACTAATATTGGCCATAGTATCATACACAAAATATGATTTTTTTAAAGAAATATTTATCCTCATTGTTGAGTACCTCAAAATTATCTGTATTAGCACTGTTCCTTTCTTATCTTAGTTGTCAACAATTGCTAAAGGATCATGATTGTACCTTGATAAATAAACTTCAATCTAAGTTGGAATTCTTTTTTTTCTCGATTCCATCCTGTTCTCAGGATATAATTTCCAAAAGAAACGCTTCATCTTCATCTTGTAATTTATCACAAAATTTGCCAAAATATCATTGGTCGAATGATTGACAAATAAGAAGCGAGGTAAACATGCGTACGCAGTACGTGTTTGTACATGTAATTTTTCTTTTCGTTGTAGTTTATTTCACTCTGTATTTCGATGATTAGGCAATCGAAAATGTTTTAGGGCATCTTCTTATTTTGACATCAACAAAAAACAGACGCAAAAGAAAAATAACATTTTCTTTATTTTATCATTGTAGTTTCTCTCTCATTTTAATATGATTACCTAATAAAAAGCAAACCCGGTGATGCATCAATCATCAACATCAGTAACTAGAGATGATAACCGTACAACCGAAAATCTATCACAATTACGTGTTAAAATATGTTCCGTACGTTTACCATCATCAATAAAACCTGTTGATATTAGTGTTTTAATGGAAGTTGATAATAAACATATTTATAGAACTGAAATTATGCGTAAAAAAAGTAAATTAAATCCTAATACTTCAGTAATCACTATTAATCAATCGTTTGACATACTTGTGACACTAAATTCTAAAATACTAATTAAAATTTATTATCCAACACGTCTTTTTGGTAATCATGATATAGGACAATTACAATGTAATATTAAATCGATTATCGATGATTATCATTCATCTGAACAAAGCACTGATAATGTCGGTACTATACCATCTTATCTTGTTAAATTACCCTATGATAATCTAACAAGACCATCATCAATATTTCGTTCTCATGACAGTAATAATATTTCAAATGGTATCATTGAAATTATTTTTTATGGTTCTTTACTCAGACAACTTGATGAACATAGACAGCGGCAAAATTTACCACTAGTAAAACGAAAAAATACATTTCTAACATATGTATGTTTCTTGTTGTTATTTAAGGATATACAGCAACAATCAGAGTCATTACCGAGTCAGTTAACGTCAGAAAATAATGTTGAAATACAAAACGAATCGTCATTATCAGATGAACAAACTTCCGAAACGAATTCAGCATCAATAAACAATGGTAAGCGTTCAAGACGGCGTCCATCAGATAATCAAGCAAATGATGCAAATACAGAAATAGAAGTTTCAACAGCAGCAGCAGCAGCTATCGCTATTCCCGAAAAAGAGCAAACCACAACAAAAGCAAATGGAACATCTTTAACAGATCTTAAAGAACAAGTTTGTAGAAGAGCAAAATATTTAATTGAATAATATTTTTGTCTTTTTAGTTACCCCCGGGCTGGGAGATGCGAACCGATAATTTAGGTCGCCCCTATTATGTTGATCATAACCTTCGTCGAACAACTTGGTGTCTTAAAAAAGAAAGACTCCCACCTGGCTGGGAAGAACGTGTTGACAGTCGTGGCCGTGTCTATTATGTTGATCATACTACTCGGACAACAACATGGAAATTACCAACTGCTTCTCATTTATCAAATGTTGCTGAATGGCAAAATAATTATGCTCGAAGCCATTCTGTATTTAATCAGTTTGAACATCGATTTTTACCACAAATTGATGCCAACGCTCAACCTAGTGATGTTCCTATTTCGACTGAAGAATCTTTACCAGAAGGTAAAATACACAACTATATTTCATAATTCAAAAAAATCGAAATTTTAATGTATGATATATTTTTTCAGGTTGGGAAAAAAAACAGGATAATCAAGGTCGAATTTATTATGTGAATCATATATCTAAAACAACACAATGGGAAGATCCACGACGAATGGATAATAATATATTTGATATGCCGTTACCACACGGTTTTGAAATGCGTTATACAAAAGATGGGCAAGTTTATTTTGTTGATCACAATGCAAAAACAACATCATTTCGAGATCCACGTAATGGTCTTATGCCCGTAAATGAATTAAATTTGTTTTTGCTATACGAAATTTAACAAAAAAAACATACTTCTTTTTCTCTAGTCTTCACTTGAATCCGATATCGCTTCACCGAATTATCGACGAAGTTTCTCACATAAAGTTAGACAATTTCGCTATCTGTGTAAAACAAACTCTACAAATGGGCAGTTAAAATTAACGATTCGTCGAGATAATCTTTTCAATGATTCCTATACGAATATAATGCAATGCCAATCAAGTGAACTTCGCCGTCGTCTATATCTTCTCTTCAAAGGTGAAGAAGGTCTTGATTATGGTGGTGTAGCAAGGGAATGGTTTTTTCGTTTGTCACATGAAGCACTCAATCCGATGTATTGTTTATTTGAATATGCTAATAAAAATAATTATTATCTTCAAATCAATCCGGCATCATCGATCAATCCAGATCATTTAACTTATTTTCGGTAAAAATTACAGTTATTTAATTGAATTTCATACAAAAAAAAACATTTCTCTCTAGATTTATTGGTCGTATTGTTGCTATGGCTCTTTATCATGAAAAATTTATTGATAATGGTTTTAGTTTGGCATTCTATAAACGCATGCTTGGCAAACCACTAACAATATATGATTTAGAATCCTTAGATCCAGAATTTTATAATGGTTTATTATGGATACGTGAAAATAATTTAAATCTTAATGATAATCTTGAATTATATTTCAATTCATCGTTTGATTTATTGGGAAAAATTGAAAGTATTGAATTGAAATCAGGCGGTAATGATATCAAATTAACAGAAGAAAATAAAACAGAATATATTGAATTAATGACAAAATGGAGATTTACACGCGGTGTCGAAGAACAAACTAGAGCCTTTTTATATGGCTTTAATGAGGTGAGTTCTCATGAACCCTTGTTTGCCCCCATGCAAATTAGACATGCATCGTTTTGTTTCACACAATAGCTTAGATTATGTAAATATTTATTTAAAATGGTCTTTTCTACCTTAGAAACAAAAGACATGACTTCTTATTTAGTTTTCATATGTTGAAATAACAACGAAGAAATTTCAATGTATTTTTTAGAGACAAAATAATAAATACCACAACGAGTCAGTTGCAGATTAAACTTTATCTATCGAGGCGAGAGCATGGTCTAATACCAATCAGTCGATAATCACAATAGCTTGTCATATACAGCCACTGAACATCGGCAGTTCTTTTACAATTCCTGAAATGCATTCTAAGATGACAGTTGAGATTATCAATATGTGAAAACTAACATGTCTTCGTTTTTATGACCAGTCATAATCTTGATTTTCTTATTATAAGTATTTAAAACTTCTACGATTCCCACGGGTTTAAAGTAATGAATATCTGTGCTTGTTAGTCTAATCCCGTATGTTTTTATTAAATTTATTTATTTCCATGTTGATTTCATCGTTTATTGATTTTTCATTTGTCGTTGATCTATCAATATTTGTAAAGGATTTAATAGCTTGCACGTCCACATCGTTCTTTACTCTTGTTCTGAATAAATACGTTGTGTACACAAAAGAATATATTTAAATACAAAGAGGCAATAAGCTTGCCAGTTTGTTCACTGTTAGTAATAACTCATTTCTTATTTGAGATGTAAAATCTTCTGATCTCAAGGAATTCTACAGAATTATTTTCCAAATTTTATCACAATTGAAAATTTACAATTAACCCGGAAATCGTTGTATCTATTCTATTTGATAGAATAATTGGCACTTTGATTTCAACAAAAAAAAGCGATCTTCAATCCGTGAACAGTAGTTGTAACATTTTCTTAACAATAAACATAAGGATTTTGATTAAACATGAGATATTCTTTTGATAGTATAGAAAATGGTTCTGGAACCCGAAATTCATCATGCTAGCATTAAATAAAAGGACACTGGATATACTATCGACTAATCTTTGTATTTATTTCGTATTAAATAGCTGCAAGCTTGCAAGTCAATCAAAGTATCTATGTCAACTAATTGAAATCCTGTTTTTTATTCTCCTATATCATTCAACACAATTAGTCGTTTAAATTCGATTGAATGAACATGGGCTATTGGAATCAACACAACTTTCATGAATATTAATGTTTTTAAAGAATTAGATTATCTACTAACTAAATAGATTTTTTTTTCTTCTTCTATTATTCGATTTTCTCACTGATGAGCTACCCATGACCAGGTCAATTGATACAAATTTCAGTTGATAGCGAAAGTACTAAACTAAAAAATGTCAAGTTATTGCTATCCAAGTGGTTTATTTAATAATGAGAATTACTAGAATTAAGATCTTTTTATTTGATTTAGGTTGTGCCTCAACAGTGGACTCAAATATTTGATGAACGTGAATTAGAATTACTACTCTGTGGTATATCAAAAATTGATATTCTCGATTGGGAACGCAATACAATATATAAAAACTATACTGAAGCAGCTAAACAAATACAATGGTTTTGGCAGTTTGTGCGTGAAATAACCGATGAACAACGGGCGCGTTTATTACAATTTGTTACTGGTACTTGTCGAGTGCCTATTGGCGGCTTTGCTGAATTACTTGGTAAATATGATAGTTAATTTTTTAGATTGACCGAAAATTAAATATAAATAAATCTGTATATTTATATTCTTTTTTAGGATCCAACGGACCGCAAAAATTTTGTATAGAAAAATATGGCAAAGAAAATATATTACCTCGATCACATACATGTTTTAATCGATTAGATTTACCACCGTATAAGAAATATGAAATTTTAAAAGAAAAACTTCTATTCGCTATTGAAGAGTGTGAAGGTTTTGGTCAAGAGTAATTGAAAACCACGCTTACTTTCTTTCTTATCTTCTCTAAATGCATTGTGAATGATTTTCTGTTTAGGTTAGTCTCTTTGCGTCATCGTTTTCTTCAATATGTACATTTTGATTATTGACAGCGAAAACTATTTGTTTTTTCCTTTCTGTTTGTAACGCGATATTTTTCTGTCCACCTTTAACAATTGGATTCTCTTTTATTGTTATAACAGTACATATTTGTTTTCTGTTTCTTTCTTGGAAAAGTTTTTATGAGATGATTCTAGAAAACTAAAACAAACACTCATTTTTATTTTATGTTTTCTATCCAATATGTGTGCACAGTTGGAATAGAAGTATATTTATGTGCATAGGGTAAATAAGATTGTCTTCTCTCTTGTTTGTCGTTTCTTTTCATTGGGATTCTTTTCACTCAGACTTAATCGATTTCTCTGCTTTCGAATATTTATTGATTAGTCGCAGTAAGTTTGAAGCTAATCAGAGTTTAGAAATTATGTAAAATATCTAAGTTAATTGTGTTCAATGCTTGTACGATCGTGATATATTTTTTTATTATTATGCTTTAATGGAAGAATTTATGCCCGAAGGCCTATTAATACATCACGAGTGGTATGCGATCGTGATATTTGCAGCAAAAAAATATATTTGATTCAACCACAAGAATTAAACAATGAAATAACTTGAATTTTAATAGTGAAATATGGAGTAAATAAATTATTGAACCAGTCAGCATCATGTCTACAAGAGAGTGAGCTTGTTCAAAATAGAAAAGTTAATTATTAATCAAATGGATAACAGATACCGATTGATTCATCGAATGATACATGTTGACGGATACAAGCATTTGTAAAATAAGAAGAAAATATTTCGTTAGTAGATGAGTAGAGAGAGCAATGCAATCATAGAAAATGACCTTTTTTTCATATCGATCAAGAGTTCATGTTATAAGAAGCTTTTATGATGCTTGAATATACTTAGTTTACTATAATTAAATAAGCGAATTAAAGTAACATCAAGAATTTTGACAACCAGAAGATTACGGAAGCTCATTTAGTTGCAAGATTTTACTAGATTCATCAAAACATGACAGTTTTTCGGTCTCAAATTATCAATACAAAAATACTTGCTGCTGTCGAGTTGAAGAAAACTTTGATACTTTTACTATTTCGAGTTCAGTATCATCGTTGTTTCTGAGATGAAAGAAAGTTCTTACAACGAATAGAAATGGTAAAACAAGTTCTTTAAAATGGAATATATCGAAAAAATGGTACGAATACTATCGTACTGAAATATCTCTGTCAATACCTTAGAAAACATGAAATATATCTGGAGAATTTCACAGCAATATTCCATACAGGCATATTCAAAGTATGCATTATTCTCAAGGGTCTTAACAACGAACCTATGATCAGTTTATTCAATTTTCAGTTCAATTGTTAGTCTATATCAATGAATCAGATGGAGAAATGATGACATCAAGGTTTTATTGTGTAGTTAGTTTGGCTAATCTATAGAACAGCTTGCAAAATCCAGCCAAAAGAAAAATATTCATTTCTGATAAATTTAGTTTTTATCAAGACTTACTATCCTGAGAAGAAAGTATTGCATTTTTTCTGAGCTCAACTTGGAGAATATCATTTTTTACTGCTTAATCTATGCATAGTCAAACTTGTATGTCAAATTTTGCCCTATATCTAGTTTATCAATAGTGACAGATAGCTATTGACATCAGATAGTTATTTTCGATACGCCTCGTGAGGCTTATTAAGAGCGCAATTAACGACAAACCAACGCAGACGCATCTAGAGAAAACGTGAATAATGATCATCATCAATAACGAAAGATAATCTAATCAAAATAAATGCATTGAACTTCAATTGAAAGCTGCAAAATTTGACTCTACAGCTAATATGACGGGATGGAAGATTGCATTAAACATGAAAGATAAAACAAGGAGAAGATAGATATAAATTTTACCATTTCTAGTAAATTTGTCGATAGAGTAATTTTAAGTTTAATGAAATCAAACAATACATCAGAGATAGGATCTTAGAGTCGTAAGATTGAGCAACTTAATAAAAACGAAATTCATGGCCTCTTGCATTGATTTGCTAATTTTTATACAATCAACGAGATTGTTGAATTGGATAATTTATCATTGAGTTTAATTCATCAAAATACAAACAACGGCAATTGCAATGCTACTTCTGTCGTCTGATATCATTATCATCTGTAAGGCTTTGACAAAGGAGAAAATAACTATGTAACATTTTACTACCGACTATTTCGTCTTGTCGTAGAGCTCGTTGAAATATACTAATTATCTTATAGGTTTGCTATCGTTGTAATAGTACATTTTAATTTTACTTTGGAGAGTAGGACACTGTTGTGAGTCTACAATTTCAAGAACTTAAATGCGACAAAAAAATAAATCTCTCTGTCCGAATTTATAGAAGCTCGCAATTCTCGATTGAAAAAATATCACACTCGACAAAGCTTTATGCTAAAAACCTTTGCAAGAGGAAGGTTACGATTATCCGTAGTTGGGTCGTAACTCAGCCGTTTTAAAAAATTTGTATGGAGAAAATTCGCATACTCAATTTTATTTTCGTTTGATATTGATAACAAATTTAACACAAAGGATAAATTTATTACGCGAATAAATGATGCTTCAAATCAGACACATCCAGTAAAATAGCCTGTTAGTATACACAAATGAAATCATTGGGTTTATCGTTGACTCCGGCACTATCGGTCAGCGTCGTTGATGGTATAATTTCAATAATAGATCTGAAGAAAAATAAGCAACCACTGATATGTACAATAGAGTTTTGTGAACGCGAAAGAAAAAAAAAGATTTTCTAATTACTTATGAAAGTGAATCATTTTATAAGTTTATATAATGCAAGCTTTCAGACACCCTTTGTATGTGTGACAAAAATCGAACACTTTATGAATGTAGCCGTAGTTTCTCTCTCACGTCAGTGAATGTAAAAGCATGCAAATAGTTTTGATACTGAAATGTAAGGTGAGTTTATTAATGAAATAAAGTAGTTCTGCTTAGAGAAACCATGCTATTGACATATCGTTTTATTTTAAATGAATAAAATGAAGATAAAAAACGAAGTAAGCTGCCATGAGGGCATTATGTTAGTTTTGCTTTTATGATTTTATCTATCAGTCGTGGTCTTATCGCTCTTTATTTATTGAGAGACAAAAATGCATTTTCTTTCATAAATGGCTACACAATTCATAATCACGTTCTTCTTATATTACAAAGACTAATCCTATTATGATAAAGGATCTGCCGCTGGCGTTTTTTTTTACAATTATTTTCACTTTGGTATGAGACAAAGAAATCATAGCGGATGCTAGTAGAATGTTCAGATCCAGCATTTGTAACTAGCAATATCTCTTATTATATTCGTGTATCATGCTATCAGAATCTGGCAATATATTCATTTTATTTCTTACTTCTATGTGAACATAGATTCAAGGGCTGCACTAATCTAACTGCATTTGATGTTGTTGTGATCGTTAATGTTATTTTTTCGAAATAGTATCAACTTCTCGTCGTTTTTGTGTTATTTACACATTTGACCTTTGCTACTTTTAAATAGTCTGGTTCTTGTGTTGTTCTTAGCTTTGAGCTATTGGTTAACTGAATAGCTGAATCTGACATTAGCATGTTATTCTGCTATTGGTATAAATAGAGTAGACGCACGAAATCCTGTTCGGTATGTGCATGGAAAACTAATTTTCAGGAAAGGACAATCAAACTTATGCTGTGAATACCTCTGCTGAGTACCATAGTGTCAATGATTCAAAGATGTGCTCAATCTTCTAATTACTTGTTGTAGTACGCATTGGCAACATAATGTTTCTCGCGAATAGTGTTCATCAATCGCTTAGCAGAACAAATGATCTGTTGAAAATATTACGGACAAGGGCAGCTAATTCATGTAGATATGAACGCAGCTTTTCTTTCTAAAGACGACTTGAAACATACATTCGCAACATCATAGACCAAGAAAGATTCCTAGCCCGAGCGTTATGATGACCAAAACCGTTAACGTATACCAAACGAAAAAAAAAACTAACTGAGACTGCCATCTACGAGGGTGTTCCTTTGACCTGGGTTAGCAAGTTTATTTTGAATAAATATTGAACTGGGCTTTGCCATTAATTAGAATACTACTGTAACTGAATTTGTAACAAAAACATATATAGAAAATAAATAAATTGATTAAATATTCATTTTCAAATAGAAGATTAATTGTTATCGGTGTAAACAATGGTTTGCTATTCCCAAGAAACGGTAGCTTGTGCAACTACCAGAGAAGTATGTTATAAATTAAAAAAACTAGTTTAACTATGTAATTAAATTTGGTCTTTTACTATCGACCTTAGACTTCTCATTTCTTAACTGGTCAGAGACATACATGTTTCGGCATCATATATATACATATGTTTATGTTATCTATCAACCGACAAAGATCTATTTGAAATACGGAAAAATCTTTATTAATTATAAAACGTTTTTCTGTGAAACAGAAATATACAACCAATATAAATTTTGTTTTTCATATATTGAAAGAACTATATCAAGAATAACAATTTACTCAAAATGTCGATAAAAACTATAATAAAATACATGTTCATTTTTTTCCCTATCGATTCCACCACCATAGTAAGACCATAGAGAAAAATAAGTACTGTTCAATAATTAAAGATTTTGCTGCTGAATCAAATTGGACACCAGTATAAAATTCTTCTTCAGTCAATCTGCACCGTACATCAGTCACAGCGTATTCACATCCGTAGAAACCACCTTAAAATTGAAACAATAAAGATCTTATGAAAAACTCTTGTTTTTTTACCATGACAACATTTATCAGCGTCTTTCTTGATATAATCCATGAAATTTGAAAGTTGTTGAACATCATCTTGGACTTCAATAATTGAACAATTTGTTATATGTTTACCCGCACATTGAATATACTCTCTGACTACTTTTTTGCACCATCTAATCTTTTCGCGTACAGTCCAGCTGAGTTCAAATTTTAAACGTTCGCCCAATATGCCATTACATTCTTTTGCAGCCTATTCTTTTTCTTTTCATATGATAACTATGCAATGAATCTTATGTTACAGACCTCTGTTACTACGCATGGTGGCATTGTTGTCGTCGTTAAAGTTGTTGTTGTCGTTGTTTTTGCTGGTGGCGATGTTGTTGTTTTACATTTGTATCGAATAATTGAACTAACACCAAGGCCAGAACAGTGTCTGCCCAATCGCCAACCCTAATGTATGTAGTTTACAATGAAAACACTTGTCATTTGAAATACATATAAAAGCTTAATGGTCGAGTTTTTTTTCATGTTGTTTGATTTTCATGATTCAAGCAAGTGAACCAATGAGATTTAATATAAGGAGATCAATAAAAAAAAACGCAAGAATGTTCTACATTACTGTGGTATGCGTGGGATAGGAAACTAACAAGGAGTAGAATAATTTGTCTTTGACTAACCCGTGTCGTAGTATTACTTAATTTCTATATAAAGAATTGCAAATCTTCACATACCATTTCGAACTAGAGACAGTTACCATAACTTTTTTCAAATGTTATTATATTGAATTAATGAAATAAATTAGTCCAATTACTCAACATATTTCAGTATATCAATCGATTAGTAATTCCTACTCGCCTATTTTAATCCAGTGGTAAAGTATTTTCAAGTCGAATTCTACGAAGAGCTTTTGTTAATTTTTCTGTTCGATTTAGTTCTATTTTTGTTTTTATAAAAGAGACTTTTAAAATTTATCTGCGGTGATTTATACTCTATTTGATTGTGTTCTCCTGTTTTCTTTTTTTCACCGTCTAAATCCTTACAGCTTGTTGAAGGGCAACATCAAATGCTGCTAGAGCACCCGCATGTTCACTTATTAAATCACAACATTGAAGTCGTTTATTAACGCATTCAGCATATTTCTTTCCTTGATCGCAAAATTGAAAAAGTTGTTCACGCGTATGTAAATCATCTTTGAACTAAAAAATATGACAATAAATCAATCAATTCATTTAACAACGAATAAAAGAATTAAAATAAATCTAATACGATTTCTTCATCAGCTGCTGTTGGTGGCTGCGGACAATCAGATGCTTTCCATATGCTACAAGCATTTGTTAAAGTTGTAAGTAACAAAAAGAATGTAGATAAAAATATCGACAGATAACGACGTTCAATGAATAACATTACTTAAGCAATTGAAATGTATAAAGACATTATGGCCGTAGTGTTTTTTATCTTTCCTTTTTTGCTCTTCTCACACCTACAGATTTTTTTTTTATCAATTGACAATCTTTGTCACACGAAAGTATTCAATGAACCCAAATCTTTGTTGGGCATAAAGAGACAGAGAGGATCACGTACACATATTGTTAGAATGGAGAAATCAATTACTGCATAGTGAAGAATTTGTTTTCATTTGAACAATGTTGTATGACCTTCGAGAAAAAAGTTTTTTTTGTCATGTGTACGTTGAAAGAAACAAATTTAGCGTTCGTTCATTAGGTTTTTTTTTTATATTATATTTGTACTAGCGGGGTCTCTAACAAAAAGAATGAATGTCAAAAAAAAGTGTAAGCGGTAAATGAGTGACATAACAAATTTTGTTTTAAATAAATAATCAACGCCATATCGGATGATGAAGCAAACAATCGTTGTTGAAAAGATTGAAGGATAAACTAGTCGATAATTTTTGTTCTTTTACTTTTTCTTTATATGCATAAATTTTCTCATTGAATTCAATGTAAAGATTAGCTATAGTATTATATAAGTGAACGATTGATTGCTATCAAGGTTAAAGAATTATTTTAATGTCTTATTTTTCATTGATCCATCATCTTGATATGTATTGGGTATCGAATTTATTTGAAATAAATTGCAGTGCTCAATGCTGCTTCAAAATTGCAACGAAAAAAAAAACAAAAATAAGTTCGATGTGTTAATGATCATTGGATCTAAAGTGAAGGTTGAGCAAAGACTTTTTTAAATCTCTTTTTGACTAACAAGCCCGCAAAACTAAATAATGGAGCAGAGCGTGCGCGAAAGTCAAAAGAAGACATGTGAAATTTTTCAATTCATTTATTGGACATCAATCACAGCGTGTACATACGGAACAGTAAGATCTCTAATTAGAAAATCAATAAATGCTATTTCGAATATTTATCTTTGATAAAATTAAATCAATACCGTCTTCTTCTTCTCTAATCATATCAGAATTCTTTTCTTTCTTATTAACTATTCTCGTATAATGCTCTTAGTTGTAACTACCATAGATGAGTTTTGTAAATAAAATATCATCGTGAGTAGACAATATCATTATTTGTTCAAACCGGAAAAAAGAATCAAAACTTCAACCTCGACATCAAACGTTGACAGAAAAGATGAAAACTGTTCAATAAAGATACTTCGCGAGTTTTATGCAGTACAAAAGGTACTCCAGAACTTTTACTAGGAAGTAGGGGCGGAACATTTTTTTTAACGTAAATTAATTAATGACATTAATTAAGTGATTAATTGATTCACATGAAAAAATATAAATACCATTCTATTTTTATTTCTTTATTATAGAATAGCTACTTTATGAAATACTACGAGTAATCTCTATAATTTTTCAAGATCTCTCTGGAGTTGATCATCCTAAATGAAATCCCTAGTTGGGATTTAAATATAAATCGACACTCAACTGCATGATATCAATTCGAAAATAGCTTATATAAGTTAGAGCTCATTTTTTGTTAATTTTAGTTGGAGTGTTGCTGCTGATGAGTGTCAGGT